TTGAACTCAGATCCTTGCCTTTGCCAGTCAAGTGCTTATCCTACTGAGCCATCTCCCCGGCCCCTATTTTTATTCTTTTGATACAGGGTCTCATGTGCAGCTTAGACTCCTAGTGATCCTCCTGTGTCAGCCTCCCCCACTCTGGGATTATAGATCAGTGTCACCATGCCAGGTTTAGGGGCTGCAGAGCACACTCTAGATTTTGGAACTGGCACAGCATGCAGTACCGGGGATCAAACTCTGATCCTTGTGCTTGACAGGCAGGTGATTAGACTGCTGAGCTATCTACCTAGTCCCCTTTTTTATATTTTTTGAGACAAAGTCTCACTAGGCAGTTCAGGCTGGCCTTGAGCTCATTTTGCTAGTCTCAATTTACAGTGATCTCCGACTTCAGCCAGAGATAGTTTTCACTATGCAGTTCTGGCTTGAACTCACTTTGTAGCCCACACTGGTCTCAAACTCATGGTGGTCCTCTTGTCTCAGCCTCCCCAGTGCTGGGATTATAGATGTGAGCCATCATGCCTGGTCAGTACAAGTTACAGAAAATAAATGAAGGCCAGGCATGGTTGCTCATGCTTGTAATCCTAGCAGCACTGGGAGGCTGAAGCAGGAGGATTGTTGTGAGCTGGAGACCAGCTGGGGCTACAAAGTGAGCTTAAGGCTACCCTGAACTGTATAGCAAGACCCTGTCTCAAAAACACAGGAAAAAAAATAAAAGAATAAAAATGAGAAAGAAATTTCCTCTTCTTCAAAATTGCAAAGGTAGTTATTCTAAAGTACTTTTTAAAATAATTTCTTTTTTTTTGTTTTTTTGGTACTGAGGATTGAACTCAGGGCCTTGTGCTTGCCAGGCAGGCACTTATTCTACTGAGCTATCTCCCTGGCCCCTAAAATAAATTTTTTTGTTTATTTGAGACAGAACCTTGGGCTAGTGATATAATTCAGTGGTGGAACATCTCCTTAACATGCACAAGGCCCTAGAATTAGATCACTCATACTGTAAAAAACAAACACAATAAAACAAAAAGTAGAATCAAAGTGTAGTCCAGGTTGTGGTCCAGTCTCTCTCAGCTTCCCAAGTGCTGGGATTATATGTGTGCACCATCATGCCTATATGCTTTTGCATCTTTTTGTTTTTAAAGAGAAAAATCATCCTATATTGTTTTTAGAACAAGTGCTTTTACACTTATGTCATGAATGTTTGTTTTATTTCAAAAAGTATCTTTATTTTTTTCTTTTTCATTAACCCTTCCCCATCTGTCCCCAGAGGGTTCTCAACACTTTAGAAGTGAGATTCCCATGAGCCTAGAGCTCTCTGGAAACTGCAGGGCCAGGACCCAGTGTCCTGAAAAGCGCCTCCCCAGCTCAGCACCACCCCCCATGGTCTCAAAAGGAAGACAAAGCCCATCCGCAGCCAGGCTCCCCCAGCAGGGCCCATCATCGCTGACCCGCTTCCCCACCCCCTGCTGTGGGAATTCTCATCCTCAGCAGCGGGCATTTCCAGTTGCTCACTTGGGAGGGAGTCACTGTTACTGCTGCGTCTCTGGCCTTCACTGCCTGCCTTGTTACTGACCAGTTTTGCCTCTAGGGCATCACTGTCCTCTTAGAGTGTTCCATGATAACCAACCACATGGTGTGCACCACTGCTGTAGGCTGCCCTTGGCCCCTAACCCTTGCCTCAGCCTGCGGCCACTGCCAAAGTTTGGGAGAGACTCACCAGAGGTCCTCTCTGGTGATGGCCTGGATCTGTCACCCGTGTATGTAAGTAGCTTTTTTTTTTTTTTTTTTGGCAGAACCAGGGATTGAACTCAGGCCCTTGCGCTTGCCAGGGATGTGCTTATTCCACTGAGCCATCTCCCCGGCCCCTGTAAGCCCTGCAAGTAGCTTTTATGATGGCCAAATCAGCTTGGCATGGCGAGCTTTCTCAATCTTT